TTACATGGACCATTTTTGTAATGCTTGAGTCCTGGCTGTAATAAGGCCCCCAGACAGGACACTGTGGACTCTGCTGTTAAGGTGATGAAAGCTTCATGAATGAGTCTGATCCTACTGTTAAAGTTAGGTCATTTTGTGTCACTGGGAAGTTTACAAGGATACAGACTTCAGGCATCTAGCTTAGGCTGTAAGAAAGTAATTATTCTTTTGAGCTCTTGCTTTTTTTTACCTTCAAGTTCTATCCTGACGGGACTCTATGATCATGATTCCCATAGATTGTATTCTAGTGTGTTGGTGTCTAGTCGCTTTCCTCATAACCTTACTTTTTCCTCACTGATGCCATTTATACCAGTGGTTCTCAACCTTTATTGTGAATAAGAATCATTTGGGTTCTTTTTATACATGCTGATTCCTGGGCTCTATTGCAGACCTGCTCAATCAGAATTCTGGAATTGGGTTCAAGGTCTATGTCCTTAAAGAAGTGCTTCAGTGCCTCTGGTGCAGGTGGCTCATGGACCACTTTTTGAAAACACTGCCTTACCCTCCCTATACATCTTTATCACAACTTACATATTCTGTCTAGGTAGCGTCTTGTGTATGCTGTGAAAATATGGGCCACCCTGTAGAAACTTGAATGATGTTAAATGAACCAAGTTTCTAGTTTAACTTTTTCACAAACACTTTTTCTTATGGAAGAACAACTTGTATCTTACTTCATTTGACAGATGCTGTCCCCAGAACCATTAACAAGCTGCCTTGTAAAGAAGCTGTAACAGTTCAGCAGACGCAGATGCCTTTCTATGGCAAAGACAGGACATCTGTGAGACCTGTGCAGAATTTTGAACAAAACTTTACACCCTCTGACTCCTCAAGTCCAGAAAATAAAAGTTTAGAAGTTAGTGATACACGTAAGTAATGTTTTCAGTGCTTTCCACTAGTGGATTTGTCATTAAGACTATCACTGCTTTAAAATGAAACTCTCCTTCTTTTGTTTATACAGCAGTCAGAGGCACACTGGCAGTAGCTCTTTTGTGGGTTTTTCCTCTTCTGATTTATTAAGTACCATCTTCATTGTATTAATTAGTATGTTATCAGTGATTAGAGGCAATAGGACTTGCAAACAACCACAGAAGCTATGAAAAAAAATAAGTAAATATTTATATAACTTGAAAGAATCACTTTTTAAAAAATAAAATATATGACTAGAGTTTTGGGTGGGTAGACTAGACCCACCCAAATATGTTACTAGAATTTTGGGTGAGTGACTACAGTGTTTGGAGGGTAGGATCAATAAACAGAATTCTCAAAATCAGACTTACAATTTGTGTTTTCAAAATGGTTTTGCCCTCTCCCATCTTGCCTAATCTAAAATTATAAACATTTACGTATATATGAAATCTTCAAATGAGAAAATATTGAAATTATTAAAAGAAATTTCTTTTTTGTTTAAGAAATTTTTTTCTTATTTTATTAACCTTATTATAGGTTTTCATAACTTTTCATTTTGTGAATTGAAGAATGTCACAAATAACTTCGATGAACGACCCATATCTATTGGTGGTAATAAAATGGGAGAGGGCGGATTTGGAGTTGTGTATAAAGGCTTCGTGCACAACACAACTGTGGCAGTGAAGAAACTTGCAACAGTAAGTTATATTTTCAGCAATAAAAAGAATGAAAGGAAGAATTGCTTCCTAATGCTATGTAATAGGTTTTAAGTTAATCTTTAGGAAATATATTATTTCAGTAGGTATTGTCTTTAAACAAACACCTTTCTAAGCTGGTAGTTCTTAACATTTAAAAATCCATTGAAAACTATGGGTCCTATCCCTAGAAAAATGTAGCTGTGTACACATACACGTAATCATACATGTAATTGTGGGAAATTCACAAAATAAAGTTGAAAAGCCCTGCTCTACAGAGTACTTCATGCATAATCTGTATTAAAATGGTAAGATACTCAGAAAATTTTATAAAAACAACTTTGTTTGCATTACTTTTCCCATTTAAAAATAAAGTTTATAAACTATACATTAAGGAAAAGGAGACTGGAAATTTTCTTTTCTGTGTATTTTGTCCCCATTTCTATTGAAGTTTTCACCTTTTATTTATTTGTTTGTTGTATTCTGAACCTGCCGTTATATCCTAAAAATATCCATAGAAAAATAACAAAAAAGAAAAAAATCAATAGAATACATGTGTATATAATGAGAGTCACTCTTTGCAATATATGTTACAAATGCTTTTGCAAGTTTTGTTTTCCTTTTTGATTTCAAATTTACTTGTGTTTTCTGTTTTCCAGATTTTTGTTTCAAAGTTTGATGCAGTAAAGTCTCATATTATTTCATTTTATTCTTGTAACAACTCAGTGAGATTTATATATTTTTTTTATTTCACTAACCAGCTGTGGAACTTGAGCAAATCATTACTATTTCTAGACCTCAATTGTTCTATGAAATGGGAAGAATAAAACCTTATTATTTGAAGGAAAGGGAGATCAGGTGACTGATCTCTTGAGCCCCTTTCCAGCTTTAGGATCTTTGGAGTTATTGTATTGTATTACATATTGTATGCTATTTTATTTTTTCAGATGGTTGACGTTAGTATTGAAGAACTAAAACAACAGTTTGATCAAGAAATAAAAGTAATGGCAAAGTAAGTGTTAATTTGGTAGTGTTATATAATGGAAAAGAAAAGGACGAAGAGTAAGGAACCTGGTTCACTCTAGAGTATGCTATGAACTAGTGATATTTGCAAATATGTAAAACTAAAATAAAGGGTTTAGATTATAGGAATTGAAAGTACTCTTGGCTCTATAATTCTATGCTACCTATACTCATGTACCTGTAGATTAAACAGCAATTTAATTTAAGTCAGTATTTTAAATCACAGCAAAGTTACATGGAATTTCAACTATCTTCCATTATCATGCTTTCTGCTCCCAGAATTCATGATAGATCAATTATAGAGATACCTTAAAAAAACTATTTATAGAATAATAGACCTTTCATTGTAAGTTAATACCCGTAAAACAACTAGGAAAGTGTTCCATGCAAAGTTGCTTCAAAGGCATTGAGCCAGTATGCTGAAAAATGTTTGGCATCATCAGGAAGAGTAGGAGGAACAAATAAGTCATAGATAATTTATTTCAGTAATTATAGTGATTAGTATTTGAGTGTGTACAATATGCCAGACACTGTGCTGTGTACTTTCTGTGCATTATCTCATTTAATCCTCACAACTGTTACAACCTCCCTTCTTTTTCTTAACTGAGATTTAGAAATATTAAATAATGTGGCCAAAGTCACATAGCCAGTAAGTATTAGAAAAATTATTTAAATCCAGATGTCTGATTCCAGAGCCTGAGCTTTTGGTCGGAATCCTGGTAGGATTTACCAAATTATAGCATTAGACCCACTACTGTAAAATCACCAGTTCCAATTACTTAACCGTAAGAAGGAAAGAATAGACTGAAATTCATTCATGCACAATAAAAGTAATATACATTGAAAAAAGATCAAATCTCTTTTTTTTTTCGGGATTTGTTTTTCCCACCCTTCCCCCACTCTCCAATCCTAAAAGTAATTTGTTCAAAGTAGATAATGTGGGAAATACAGGAAAATGTTTTTAAAATAATGAAACCATATCTCAGATATACCACTCAGAGATAACCATTGCTAGTATTTGATATACTTGCTTCATGTATATACAGCATTTTTGCCATGTCATTAAGAATAATTTGAAAGTATTTTAAATTATCATACAACATTCTAGCATATGTGAGGATCGTATTATATTTAACTATAACTCTACTAGATTTATCTTTAATTTTCAATATTACAAATTAAAGCTTCTTTAAAGCTCTTTGTATATGAATTTTTAAATGCAATTCTACTTGTTTCATCAGGATAAAGTCCAAGAAGAAGAATTACTAGATAGGAATGCATGAACTTTTTAAAGACTTTCTTAATATATATCCAAATGACTTTATAGATAAGTTATAGTAATTTATATTCCTACCAGCCATGTATTGCAATTTCAAACTTCACTGTTTTCTCATCACCACTGAATATTATTACTATTTTTTAATAAGCGCCAATCTCTGGATCTTACTAGCAGAATGACCTTGACCATTGTATTTATTAGTTTTCTCATCTAGAAAATAGGATGATAATAATAGTACTTACCTCAGTAAGTTATTGTGAGGGTTAAATTTTAAAAAGGAGATAAATCACTTTCCCCAGTGCTTTGTATATAGTATAAAGACAGCAAATGTGAGTTATTCATGTTTAAAATGTGCCCATTTGCTGGAAAATGGAGCACTTATTGCTTTAATTTGCACTTCTTAAAATATTTATGAGAGTAGAGGAAGCCTAATTTAATATAACAAGATGCCAGAATTATAGATCATTTTGAATGAACAAAATGAATAAAACCCTTGAATGGAACACTTATATGTACCAGATATGTTTCTAGGCTCTCATACATATATGTGCTCATTTAATTCTCACAGCATCCATATTACATAATAGGCACTATTTTCTGCACTTAGCACTGTAAAAAAATTATCTTCTGTGAAACTTAGGAAGTGGGGGGCTCACAACAGGAGGTGAGCAGCTGGCAAGTGAGCGGAAACTTCCCATCCAGGGAAATCCCATGGCCCGCGTTACCGCCTGAGCTCCACCTCCCCATCCATGGGAAATTATCTTCCATGAAACTGGTCCCTGGTGCCAGAAAAACTGGGGACCACTGATAGAAGCTGAGGCTCAGTGAGGTTTTTTTGTTCTTTTTCTGTCTCCTCAGGCAGAGTGCAGTGGCTTCATCATAGCTTACTGCAACCTGCAACTCCTGGGCTCAAGCAATCCCCCTGCCTCAGCCTCCCAGGTGGCTGCCACAGCGCAGGGCTAATTGAGGTTATTAACTTACCATATGTCATGTATCCAGGAGGTGGCAGTGCTGGACTTTAAGCTTAGGACTTTGAACTCTGAGCTCTGTTTTCTTTCTGCTGTACCACAGATGCCTGCAGTTTATAATGCAGGTCTCTTTAATTTTATTACTTTCAAGTATATAAAGAAATTCAAATTAGGTGATTAAAGATCAGAAATGCCTAAATTGGATGTAACTAAAGATCATGTCTATAAATCAGTACTTTGAGTATGTTAGAGAATTCTTGAAAGTGTTGTAAAAATTTCAGTAGACTTCTTGAAATCTTGTTTGTGCTATCGTTGAAAATTGTGCTAAACAAAAGTAAGCATCAGCCTAGCCCTTAACCAAACTACCACAAGTTCCAGTGATCTGAATTATTTGTCTTTTTCCATAAAATAGAAAGTTTTGCTCCTAATGTTGATCAATATGGGCTGAAAAGAAAACTATTTATAGAAAATTATAAACAACAGTAAACATAAACATATATAATAAATGATGTATAACATTATTTTCTTGCTCTTTTTTTCCATTAAAACTCTAAATTGAATAACTTCTGACCCAAAGCTGAATGTATAAGTATTTATTAAAATAATCTTGCATGGAAAATTTATTTGTCACAGGTGTCAACATGAAAACTTAGTAGAACTACTTGGTTTCTCGAGTGATGGAGATGACCTCTGCTTAGTATATGTTTACATGCCCAATGGTTCACTGTTAGACAGACTGTCTTGCCTGGTAAGATATTTGTTCATCAAATTGTTTGGCTTTGTGTTTATATGTTGGAATACTAATATTCACTTTGTGACAGAATCATTTAAACCATATTAAACTTACTATTTTTCCTGCTTTATGAAGTGTACAGTTGATATGTAAACAACTGGGATTGCTATTCTCTTAGGTGATAATCTAAAATGTAAAATTATCAGTCAAGGTTAGACTACGAAGATGCTTTTATATATTTTTATCTTCAAATAAGAAATGCTAACCCCTATTTGATCTTATTTGGAGATTATTTTTTAACAACTTAAATAATTGTAGTCCTAAATCTTAGTGCTATAATATTTCCAGTTGTTACCTAGAAAAATATTCTGTGTTAGATATTTTCTACAGATTTTTATCATCCTTTTTTTAATTGGTTTGTTTCTTCATAAGGATGGTACTCCACCTCTTTCTTGGAACATGAGATGCAAGATTGCTCAGGGTGCAGCTAATGGCATCAGTTTTCTCCATGAAAACCATCATATACATAGAGACATTAAAAGGTAAATGCTACTATTAAAAAGCATTTGGAAAGTCATCTTTAAAGAATAATTTGCTCTCACTCTTTCTATTCACTATTCACATGTGTGTATTAGTGTACAGCATCTGGACTTTTTTCCCCATCACTCTATGAAAGTTCTTCTCACTAAAAAAATCTATAATCTCCTTTATTCGAAACCCAGTAACCTATTTTCAGTACTCATCCTACTTGACCTTTTTTTTTTTTAATATCATGTTTTCTGTTCTTCTTGCTACTTTTGTCTTATGGAAATTAGGTTTTTTCTTAGTTTCTGGATCATCCTCTTTTCTGAATCACCTTCGTCCTCCCTGAGTACTTTTTGATTCTCTTCCTTGGTATGTATTTATCTAGTTAAACATTTACCTACTATATGCTGGATAATGTAGATAATATAGTCAGTAAAAGTAGCACATATAGTTTGACATCAATCAAATAATCACAAAATAATAATAGAATGTTAGTGTATAGTATAGTATATAGGATTAGTATAAAGACAGGTTCCCAAGAATGTGATATTTAAGCTGAGATCCAAAGAATGAGTAGGAAATTAGTAGGCATAATTTGAGAGTAGCTATAGAAGATGGGGAGAAGAACATTCTACGCAGAAGGAACTGCATTTGTAAGACTAGTGGTGAGAGGGAATATGAGAACATGAATGAAAAATGAAATAAATGCAGTATGACTGACGTACAGAAAGCAAAGCAGTAGTGGATGGGAGATAAAACTATAACGATAGGCAGGGAGATAGGTGCTTTAGGACCTAATGGACCAAGGTAAGGATCTTAGTTTTTATTGTAAGTGTAATGAGAGGCAGTTGAAAATTATAAGTAGGGATGTGGCATCAGATTAAGTTTTGCAAAGATCACTTTGACTGCAGTGTAGAGAACAGTTTGTAAGATAAAATAGTTAGTAGGGTATCATAGAAGTCTTGGTGGTGGCAGTTCATATAAAGAGAGGTGAGAGAGTAAGATGGCAGGACTTGCTGGTATCTTGGTTGTGGAGGGGAAAGTATCAGGAATGACTCCTGGAATTAGGGCATCCAGAATTGCATTCGGAAATGATTGTGGCATGATTCACTTATATAGAAAGGACTAAAAGAGGACCAGGTTGGGCTGGGGTTAGAAGGGTGGTTGGAAAATGTGAATTTTCTTTTGTATACATTGTGTTTGAGCTTCTTTTAAGATACAGAAGTGGAGATGTTAGACTGTGTGATATATAGATTTGGAGCTAAACGAAGTCTGAGCTAAAATACAAATGTGTGCGTTACTTGCGTAAGATGATAATTGAAGAGTTATCATAGGATTGTATTCACTTAAGGAGAGATATAGATTAAGAAAAGGTCCTAAGATTAAGTCCTGAGGGATCCTAAGACTTAATGTAAAAGAGAATGATCTTTTAGAGGAATCTGAAAAAGAGTATACACACAGAAAGGTAGGATGAAAACCAGGAAAGTGTGATGACCTTGAAAACAAGGAAAGTGTTTCCCAAGAGGGAGTAGTCAAAAGAGTCCAGTGCTTTTTAACCATTGAATTAGCATCATGCAGGTCATTAGTGGCTTTATGGAGACCCATTTCCATGTAGTAATTGGGTCAGAAATCAGTTGGTAGTTGAGGAGAGAGTGGGAGATAGAGAACTTCAATGTGAGTGTAGATAAGTCTTTTAAGACATTTTACTAGTGAAGGGTGATGGCTGTAAATAGATGTGTCATAGATGTCTTATTTGGGAAACATTTTTTTTGAAGATAGCAGAGACTAAAGCATGTTTATATGCTATGGGAAAGATCCAGATAAGAGGGAAAAGCTACAGTAGAAAAGAGAGTGAGATAATTTATAGAGTAAGATTCCTGAGAATGTGGGAAACAGCCCAAGCAGAGGGACTGACCTTAGATAAGAAGAAAGACACCATTTCCCTTCCCTCATGTATTGGTATTCTCTGGTGTTTTTACTTCATTGTCTCTTTTCTTATCCCTGTATGTTCTTTATGAGTGGTTTTATGTTGACTTTAACTGCTGTCTGTATGTGGGTGACTCTCAAATCTGTGTCATCAGCTTCCAATCCTGTATTTTCAGTATTCCATACCAAAAACACTTCACCTAGATGTCCCACAAGAGCCTCTAAGTCAACATGTCAGAAATCAAACTCATCATCTCTTCCATCCCAAAGTCGTCTTCCTGTATTTCCTTTCTGATCAAATGAAGTCACTGTTCATTCTGTCTCCCAAGCTAAAGCCTTTCTCATTCCCTATATCACAGTAATTACGAAGTTCTGTTGAGTGTGCCTTGAAATTTGCATTTTCCATTTATCTGTAGGGCTGTGCTTCTGTTTAGACTCTCATTATTTCTCATTTGCTTTACTATAAACCTTTCTACTTAACCTAAAACCAGTCTGTACCAATTCTCATCTATTCAATACAACACTGCCAGGTTATGACCCGAAAGTCAAGTCTGATAACATTAGTTCCCTACTATGAAAAGTTTAGCTGGTGTCCTTTTGCTCACAGGGTAAAGTTAAACTAGTGTTCCATGGACACTAGTTCCTTGAAATTGATCATATATACCACGTGCTTTTATGTTTTCATCACTTTGTACATGTTACTACATTTGCTTGAAATGCCTTTCTTTCACTTTCCTTGTTTTCAAAGTCATCACACTTTCCTGGAATAGTTTAAAGAAATGAATAATTGAGATACTTTGGTTAAAAATTTGAGGTAAATGAGAAATGTTAGGAAAAAAATTAGGAAAAGTGCTTTGGAAGACTTTTTGGAAAATTATCCTTAGTAAATTATTTGTGGAATAATGAAAATATCACTAACATGGATAGTTTTATTTTATTTTTATTCTTCTAAAATTTTTCCTTAAGAAACAAAGAGGAAAAGAAGACAGCAATTCTCTTTAGCTATAATCTGAATTCTACATTTATTTCCACAAATTTCAGGCTTTTATGATACTACTATAAAATGGTATACTCTGGAAACATGTGTACATATATGCATGCATATATACATACATACATCTATCTAAGGAACCATTTGATTTCCTTGGGAAAAAAACCATTTTTTTCCTCCAAACTTTAAATTTTTTCAGTGCAAATATCTTACTAGATGAAGCCTTTACTGCCAAAATATCTGACTTTGGGCTTGCACGGGCTTCTGAGAAGTTTGCCCAGACGGTCATGACTAGCAGAATTGTGGGAACAACAGCGTATATGGCACCTGAAGCTTTGCGAGGAGAAATCACACCCAAATCTGACATTTACAGCTTTGGTGTGGTAAGTTCCATGTACATAATTAGTAAAAATAATCATTCTGCTGTAATTGTGAAACTGAAGTAGAATATTATTTAATATACCTGTCATGATTAGCTCTCTATGTAACATTATAAATTGCTCACATTAACCTCTAGCTACACTAGAAAGTTTATAAAAATTTTTCCCAATGTGTAAAAGTTTTTAGTTGATTTTTGAAATTACTGCAGGAAATGATTTTCTTGCCACCTATCCTGTATGAATTAGCATGATACTTAAATCAATGCATTAAAGGAATCATGTCACATATGATTAGTATCATATTTTTTGGCATTTTCTAATCTACCCATCTGTTCCTAATCACTTTTAAGATAGAATAAGTGTATAAGTGTACCTTTTTCTCTGCATCCATGCCAATATCTGTTGTTTTTTGAGTTTTTTATAATGGTCATTCTGACAGGGGTAAAGTAGTATCTCATCGTGGCTTTAATTTTCATTTCCCTGATGATTAGTAATATTGAACATTTTTTCACATATCTATTGACCATTTGTCTATCTTCTTTTGAAAAAAATCTGTTCATGTCTTTTGTTCACTTTTTGGTGGGGTTATTTGTTTTCTTCTTGTTGCTTTAAGTTCTGTGTAGATTCTGGAAATTAGTCCTTTGTCAGATATATAGTTCGTGAATATTTTCTCCTATTCTGTAGGTTGCCTGTTTACTCTGTTAATTTTTTCCTTTTCTGTGTAGAAGCTTTTTAATTTAAGTCCCATTTATTTACTTTTGTGGTTTTTGTATTTGCCTTTGGAGTCTTAGTCATAAATTCTTTGTTCAGGCCTATGTCTAGAAGAATTTTTCCCACCTTTTCTTCTAGAATGTTTATGGTTTCATGCCTTATTGTTTAAGTCTTTCATCAATCTTGAATTAATTTTTCTGTGTGGCAAGAGATGTGGGTCCTGTTTCATTCTTCTGCATGTGACTATCCAATTTTCCCAGCACCATTTAAAAATAATATGGATATTACTCAAAGAGCTAAAAGTAGACCCACCATTCAATCCAACAATCCCAATACTGGATATCTACCCAAAAGAAAAGAACTCATTTTATCAAAAAGACACCTGCACTCCAATGTTTATTGCAGCATAATTCACAATTGCAAAAATATGGAATCAACCTAAATGCTTATCAATACATGAGTGGATAAAGAAAATGTGGTATATGTATACCATGGAGTTCTACTTGACCATAAAACAGAATGATATAATGTCATTCACAGCAACTTGGATGGAACCGGAGATCAATATCCTAAGCGAAGTATCTCTGGAATGGAAAAACGAACACCAGATGTTCTCACTAATAAGTGGGAGCTAAACAATGGGTGCACATGGGTACAAAAAGACATAAAGGACACCACAAATAAGAAGGGGGAGGGTGGGATATAATCTTACCTATCGTGTACAATGAACACTGTCCTGGTGGCACTGAAAGTCCTGACTTCAGCATTATAGAGTGTATCCATGTAACAAAAACTTTCATACCCCCCTATTATTTTGAAATTAAAAACTAAGATAGAATAAGTGGTAAGTATGGGTGGTTGGAGAAATGGCGGGGGAGGGGTTGTCTTCATCTTATTTTTTCAGATGTATTTCATCTGTGGAAATTTAACTTCATAGCACAGTAAAGTTAAGGCACAGGGTTATAGAATATGCCTCATGTTTAAAAATAATATTCTCCTGAGAGCCATAGAAAATTATTCTTGTGAAGAATCCCCTGTAGGGCAGGAAAAAGATTGAGAGTTCCCAGAACACATGTAATGTAAAGCTGATTGTTTAGTAAGTTGCCAATAAAAAAAGAACTGCTTATGGGTGTGGTGAGACCCAAAGGTGTCCACAGAGGAGCAGTGGTGAGAAATGCCCATAGCTCATGTTCTTTCCACTTTAATACCTAAAACACATATGCTTTGAATGGAAATGACCAATCAGATTTTATAATCAAGATCCATATTCCTTCTAGTTTCTATATGTTGTCTTGGGTACTATATTAACAGATTTTTTTTTTGTCTCCATAGGTTTTACTAGAAATAATAACTGGACTTCCAGCTGTGGATGAACACCGTGAACCTCAGTTATTGGTAAATTGAAAGATTAATTTTTTCCAATCCTTTTCTCTTTGCATTTATAGTCTAAATTTGGCATCTGGAAATGACATTTTCTACTGGCAATCTTTCCATTGGCAATTACATGGTAGCATGTGGAAAAGGCATTAAATATTTCTGATCTCAATTCTGCCATGAAGTATTTGTGAAGCCTAGAAAAGTCACTTATGTATTCTTTGTTCTGGTTTCTTTATAGGTAAAGTGAGAATAGAACTAAATGATTTCCAAGGCCCTCTTCAGTTTATTTTTATTTTGCTGCTTTCCGGGTGGTTACTGATAGCGTTTTCAGTGTTTTCAGGAAGGAAAAACATGGCTTCCATTCAAATTTGTATCAGAATAGAATTGTTAGTAAAATTTCTTTATCAATTTCTATCAGGGAGCATTTTATTTATAAAGTGATAATAGACAACACACCAAAAAAAGAAAAAGGAAGACATACCCAATTTGTTCTATTAGACACTCACTGGCCATTATATAAAGTGGATGAAATGAATGCTAAATAAAACTAAGAAAATTATGCTATCCCTTTTTTTCTTGTATAGTAAATTTTAAGAACTTGAAGGATCTTTTTATAAAATTAAAGATTTATGGAAATGTTGTTCCATGAATTAATATAAATATATTTGTAGACAGGATTTGCCTCAGGAGTTTTGCAGAGCTTTGTCCTGTAGGAATATGTGAACGTGTTGGTTTGCATTTTAAATGCTGTTGCACTCAGGAGGGCATCTCTAAAAGACAGTAGCGGCTATATCCCACAAGGCACTGCGTTTTTCAGACCTAAAGCTTTGGATTTGCTTTGCAAAGCAAAGTGAATCTGTTAAAAACTACAGGATGAGAGCTGATGAAAGAATGCCCGTCCGGAACAGACAGCTGCCCAAACAGTCCGCCTATGGCTAAAAGCAAGGGGCAATTCCTGCTTAAAACTCCAGACTACTTTCTCCATTCACAATAACTTGATAAAGAAAATGTGGAGCCAATATATCTCTGTTTAACCCCTCTGTTAAGTGATAAATTT